CCTAGGTCAGCTGCTCAGTGGTATGGTAGGTTTGATAAGAGTGGGAAGGGTGCAGCACAGCCCCATCCCCGCTGCTGGGACCAGAAAGGCAACGTTCCCAGCATCGGGGCTAGACAAAGAACAGCAGGACCTTGGCTGATTCCTCTTGACTTCTCCAGGACCTGGCATGTGGTAGTGCAAAGTGAATGTTGCAGAACTGAATGGTAGCAGCCAAAGACGCCCTGCCTGGCTCCGAGGGGGCTCCCAGCTTAAAGTTCAGACATTGTATTAGGTCCAAGACTGGCCCTAGAGTCTGGGCGTTTTACACAAACTCTGGCTAGACGCTTTTGTGCATTGTCTCTTTTAATCCTAACAATAACCGTTTTATGATTTCTTTTTACAGATCAGGAAATTGAGGGCCAGAAGGGTAAAGTGGCTTGCTCAAGGCCATGGGGCTGGTGTGTGGCTGAGTTGTGGCTTGAGCCAAGGGCTGTAAGATTTGGCAGTCAGTATTCTGAGAGAGATGTAGGTGGAGATAGGAGATGAAGATAAAAGATGAGAGAGAGTCAGCCAGAGAGAATGGAAGGAAAGAACAGGAGAGCGGAGAGAGGAGTTTCTGCCAATCCCAGGACACCACGGCTGTATCAGCTTTCTACTACTACCTAACAAATGACCACAAACTTCATTGCTCAAAGTCACACACATTTATCATGTTGTAGTTTCTGTATGTCAGAAGTCTAGACACAACTTAGCAGAGTTCTCTACTTCAGGTCTTGCCAGGCTGCAATCTGGGAGTTGCCCAGGGCTGTGGTCTCATCCCAGGCCTGATGAGATCTGCTTCCAAGGTCATCAGGTCGCTGATACCGGAATTCACCTCCAGTGGTTGTCGGACTAAAGTCCCATTTTCTTGCTGATAGTTGGCCGGGGGCCACTGTCAGCTCCGAGAGGTTGCCCGAAGTCCTTTGCCACTTGACCCTCTCCTTAGGCCCATGAGTTTCTCTAATAAAACAAAGCCTTTTATGTACTATAACCAAATTACAGAAGTTACATCACCTTTGCCATATAACTTAACCTAATCTTGAGAGTGACATTTTATAACCTTTGCTGTATACTGTTGCTTAGAAGCAATTCACAGGTGCTACCTACATGCAAGGGGAGGGGATTATTCAGGATGTAAACAAAACATGAGGGCCACTCTGTGGACCTTGGATCTAGACAGTTCTGAAGTTTGTGGGGCTCAGGGCCCTTGACTTCTCTGATCTGGCATCTGTGTATCCACTGCAGTTTCCCTTCTCCAGAGTCACCCCATTTTCTCTCTGGGAGCACTAGAGCTGGAAGCAACCTTATGGTCATCTGCACCCGTTTCTGGAGCCTCCAGAGCTACTGGGCTCTAGGAGCCCTTTGCAGGTTTCTGGGGAGGCTAAGAAAGTCCAGTTTGCCTGAATGTTACAGTTCTCTGCCCCTAGACATAGTTCTATAATTCCTGGCTGAAAACCTTGTCCCTTGAGAGCCCTGAAGCATTCATTGGCCCTTCTGTGTCTCTGCTCAGATTACACTGAGAATGCCAACTTCATAAACACTGCTCGTTCACAGACAAAGCTGAGGACCCTGGGAGATAGTAATAAAGGGTCTTTGAAGGCCAAAGGATTAGGAAACACTCCTCTGGCCACCTCCTGTATTGCAGTCCTGGCAAGACCTGAAATGTCCATCCTGATATTTCGTAGGAGGAGAAACAGCCTAGAGGGGATGATAGGGGCTTGACCCCCTTCCCAGAGCCCATCTCTCTTCCCCACAGCCCGACTGGATGGTGGGGGTGAGTTGAGGCCAGAGTGGGTGCAAGAGCCAGATTGTGGGGACCTTGTGGTCGGAATTAAGGAGTTGAACTTTATTTTGAGGAAAAGAAGTGGGAAGGGGAGGGACATGGTCAGATTGGGGTTAGAAAGATGACTATGACCCAAGTGTGGGAATGAATATGTGTGTGCTGGGAGGGAGCGAGACTGAGGACTCGAGGTGGGTGATCCGAGGGATGCAGGAAAGAGCCTGGCCCGTGCCAGGTTAGTGGAACTGAGAGGCCTGAGATCTCTTTGAGAGGCTGGATTAGCAGCCCTCAGTGGCTGAGTGCATTTTGTAGGTTAGGGAAGAGTGAGGTGACAGGATCAACTTCTGGGTTGATAGCAAGGTCATTGGCTCACCAAGGGAGATGGACATATCCATTGAAATATTAAGTAGGCATTTGGCTATTCAGGCCTGGGGTGCAGAGAAGAGCTCTGGGCTACTGGGCACACTTGAGAGCCCTGGGTGTACAGGAGGCACATGCACAGGAGCTGTGGAAGGGAGGTCCCTCCAGCCTCTCTTGCCTCAGCTTATCCTGCTCTTCCTCCACCTGAACTCCTCCAGTTTTGGAAGGCACCCTGCAGTCCCACACCTGGGCCCTCTTTGCCGCTCCCTCTGCCTGCAACCAGCTTCTCTCTTGGGCTGCCCTCTTCCTTGCACCTTGCCAATATGCATGCACACACAGGCACATTCACACACACATGCACAAGTAGTCATGCACACACTCACGTAGGCACCCATGCATGCACACTTACACGGACACATGCTTACATTGGCCAATTCCTACTCTGTCCTTTTTCTCCAAGCTCTCATCACAAATAGGAATTATTTAATGTCTGTCTTCTCTGCTAGGCTGTAGGTTCCATGAGGACAGGCCCTGAGTCTGTGCTGGTTCTGGAATCATGGTGTCTAGTAGAGGCCAGCACACACCAAAACATAAATATACAAATGAGTGAGTGAAGAGAATCCCATTGGCCTTAAGGAACTTAGACAATTAAAGTAATTGGGCAGAAGAGAACCTATTGAAGGAGTGGAGAGGCATCACCTGAAAGGAAAATGGGGGCCTGCCAAAGTCAAGGCGGATACGTGTCATTATGCAGCTGTCCAAACCCACAGAGTGTACACTACCAAGGGTGAACCCCAGTGCACACTAGGGCCCCCAGATGGTGACAATGTGTCAGTGTAGGTTCATCAGTTGCACAAATGTGCCTCTGTTGGGGGATGGGGATTGCGGAAGGGGCTGTGCCTCTGTAGGGGCAGGGAGTATCTGTGAACTGCACTGAACTGTATTTTCCACTCCGTTTTTCTGTGACCCTAAAAATGCTCTAAGAAAATCATTTATTTATAAATAATTTTTTTTTTTTGAGATAAGAGTTTTGCTCTTGTTGTCCATGTTGGAGTATGATGACACGATCTTGGCTCACCGCAGCCTCTGCTTCCCAGGTTCAAGCAATTCTCGTGCCTCAGTCTCCTGAGTAGCTGGGATTGCAGGCACGCACGACCATGCCCTGCTAATTTTGTATTTTTAGTAGAGATGGGGTTTCTCTATGTTGGTCAGGCTGGTCTCTAACTCCCGACCTCAGGTGATCTGCCCACTTTGGCTTCCCAAAGTGCTGGGATTACAGGCATGAGCCACTGGGCCTTGGCTTTTTTTTTTTTTAATTTATTTTTTTAAGAGAGAGTCTTGCTCTGTCACCCAGGCTGGAGTGCAGTGGCACGATCTTGGCTCACTGCAACCTCCGCCTCCTGGGTTCAAGCCATTCTCCTGCCTCAGCCTCCCCAGTATCTGAGATTACAGGCACGCACCACCACATGCCCAGCTAATTTTTGTATTTTTAGTAGAGACAAGGTTTTACCATGTTAGCCAGGCTGGTCTCAAACTCCTGATCCTGTGATCCTCCCACCTCGCCCTCCCAGAGTGCTGGGACTACAGGCATGAGCCGTGCCCAGTCTATATAAATATTCTTTTAAGAAGCCAAAGCAGAAAATGATCAAGAAGGAGTATGTTAATGTCAGCAGAGGACTACAGGCATGAGCCGTGCCCAGTCTATATAAATATTCTTTTAAGAAGCCAAAGCAGAAAATGATCAAGAAGGAGTATGTTAATGTCAGCAGAGGTTTCTGCTGCTGCCAGGTTGAATTAAGAGAAACATGTCCCTTGGTTAGTGATGCGGCTGTATTGGTCATTTTAATGAGAATAATATCTGCTGAGTGATGGGGCTGGAACCTAGACTGGAGAAGGTCTGGATGAAGGGAAGGTAAGAAAGTGACTAAATGAGTATAGAAAACTGCTAAGAAGCTTGGCAGTTGCTGGTGAAAGAAAATTACACAGGTAGGGCAAGGGTTACTGTCTTGCCAAACAGGACAGAACCCCAAGCCTCTATGTAAGATGCTAACTTCTTGTGACAGAGGATCATATTGATTTTCCCTTGTGATTGTCCAATTAGCAAAACCCAGGCTTTGAGAAACCCTACAGGACAAATGCCCCAGGCTTCTCCACAGATAACCTTTGAGGGAAAGACAGGGTTGTGGGGAGCATGTGGGGATTGTAACAGGCTTTAAAAGATACATGGTAATTTTAGAAATGAGCAAGTCTGCCGGGCGTGGTGGCTCAAGCCTGTAATCCCAGCACTTTGGGAGGCCGAGGCAGGTGGATCACGAGGTCAAGAGATCGAGACCATCCTGGTCAACATGGTAAAACCCCGTCTCTACTAAAAATACAAAAAAATTAGCTGGGCATGGTGGCGCATGCCTGTAATCCCAGCTGCTCGGCAGGCTGAGGCAGGAGAATTGCCTGAACCCAGGAGGCGGAGGTTGCGGTGAGCCGAGATCGCGCCATTGCACTCCAGCCTGGGTAATAAGAGCGAAACTCCGTTTCAAAAAAAAAAAAAAGAAAAAGAAATGAGCAAGTCTAACCTATGATACCTAGGGATCCACACCTGGGTGATAAAATTATAAAGAAATGGCAGGTGTGGTGTCTCCTGCCTGTAATCTCAGCACTTTGGGAGGCCGAGGCAGGTGAATCACCTGAGTGAGGTCGGAGTTTGAGACCAGCCTGACCAACATGGAGAAACTCGGTTTGAGTGTGTTACTCCAGTCATCTAGGGCCCAGGCCTTCTGCCTCCAGTCCATAGCCCGGGATTAGGCAGAGCCAGCTTCTGGCCCATGGCTGCCCTGTCTCCTTGCAGGAATCACTGAGATTCTAATGAACAGACCTCATGCCCGCAACGCCTTGGGAAACGTCTTCGTCAGTGAGGTGAGGAAGGGTGGGCTCTAGGGTGGGCTGGGATGGGCTGGGAGGTATCTAACAGGGTGTCCTCTGTAGCTGCTGGAAGCTCTGGCCCAGCTGCGGGAGGACCGGCAAGTGCGTGTCCTGCTCTTCAGAAGTGGAGTGAAGGGTGTATTCTGTGCAGGTAGGTTCTCACCCCTGCCCCCATCCTGGGGCTCTGCAGGGTGCCCACCAGCCTCCAGGGGTTGGGGGAAGCCTTAGATCAGCTCCAGCATGGGACTCATTCCCATTTTACAGATGTGAATGCAGAAACTCAGGAAGGAAAATTCCCTTACCTAAGATCACACAGCTAGTAAGAGGTAGGATAGACTTCAGTTTGAACTTGGCCTCTCTAACCCTTAGATCCTAGTTATTTCTGCTATGCCATGCTTTGTTCTGATCCTTCATGGGGTATATAAGAAAATGGAAAGCCGGGCGCGGTGGCTCAAGCCTGTAATCCCAGCACTTTGGGAGGCTGAGGCGGGTGGATCACGAGGTCGAGAGATCGAGACCATCCTGGTCAACATGGTGAAACCCCGTCTCTACTAAAGATACAAAAAATTAGCTGGGCATGGTGGCACGTGCCTGTAATCCCAGCTACTCAGGAGGCTGAGGCAGGAGAATTGCCTGAGCCCAGGAGGCGGAGGTTGCGGTGAGCCGAGATCACGCCATTGCACTCCAGCCTGGGTAACAAGAGCGAAACTCCGTCTCAAAAAAAAAAAAAAAAAAAAAAAAAAAAAAAAAAAAAAAAGAAAATGGAGTCCAAGATGGGTGCAGTGACTCATGTCTGTAATCCAGTGCTTTGAGAGGCTGAGGCGGGTAGATCATGAGGTCAGGAGTTCAAGACCAGCCTCACCAAGATAGTAAAACCCTGTCTCTATTAAAAATACAAATATTAGCCAGCCACAATGGCAGGCACCTGTAATCCCAGCTACTCAGGAGGCTGACGCAGGAGAATCACTTGAACCCAGGTGGCAGAAGTTGCAGTGAGCTGAGATTGTGTCACTGCACTCCAGCCTGGGTGACAGAGTGAGACTCCGTCTCAAAAAAAAAAAAAAATGAGCTGGGCATGGTGGCAGGCACCTCTAATCCTAGCTACTGAGGAGGCTGAAGCAGGAGAATCGCTTGAATCTGGGAGGCAGTGACTGCAATGAGCTGAGATCGCATCATTGCACTCCAGCCTGAGGGGAAAAAAAAGAAAAGAAAATGGAGTCCAGAGATGCTCATAAGGTCAGTAGCCAAGATGGAACTCTATGCCCCTTTGCCTACCAATAGGATCTCATTCCCTGTCACCAAAGCCCTCCACTATCCCTGTGTCATTTGGTCCTCACAACTGGACAAGCACCATGAACTTCCATTTTAGAGATTGAAGGAAAAACACACACCAGGCCCACAAGAGGCAAGTCAGCTGCCAGGGGAGCTGAGCTGAGAACCGACTCTGACAGGGTGGTTGGAGAGGGGCCCACAGGGGCTACTGTGATACAGGAGGAGGCTGGGGAGGGATAGGAAATGGGGAGCATGATGCTCAGGAGATTTCAAGGGGAGATGGCTCAGCCCTTAGGTCTGAGCTGTCAGAGTCAGGGTGCCCGGCCTAGGGTCTGTGCTGACAAGCGTGCAGACCAGTCAGCCTGCCCCAGCTTCCCTGGCTGAGGTCTTTACCCTACGCTAGCCTCTTCCTTGGGCTCCATCTCTGACCTCTGTCAAAGTCATGTCATACCTGTTCTTCCTCCCACCATTAGCTTTGCTTATCACCCTCCCAGCTTAGCACAGAGAAGGAAGGGGCTGCATGAGGCTCACTTCTGCCTCACCTAGCTCTAGAATCCTGGGTTAGTTCCTGCCCCTCTGGGCCTCAGTTTCCCCATCTGTCACAAAAGACTTCCAAAGGCTCTCTCAGCTCTGACTTCCTGTAGTCTAGGACTGTAAAAGAGTCTATTTACCCCCTACTCCTGCTCACCCCTGCATCTGGCCTTTGAAGACCCCACCACAGTCACTCTTCCTGCTAAGGGGCTCACTTCTGTTCTCTTTTACTTGACCTTTGACCTCTCAGCCTCCGTGGACCTTGCTGATCCTGCCTGTAAAAATTAGTCAATTAATTTTTAATTTTCTTATTACTTACATATTTTAGAAATTGTGGGCCAGGTGCGGTGGCTCACACCTGTAATCCCAGCATTTTGGGAGGCCAAGGCAGGCGAATCACCTGAGGTCAGGAATTCAAGACTACCCTGACCAATATGGTGAAACCCCATCTCTACTAAAAACACAAAAATTAGCCGAGCATGGTGGCAGGCACCTGTAATCTCAGCTACTCGAGAGGCTGAGGCAGAAGAATTGCTTGAATACAGAACGCAGAGGTTGCAGTGAGCTGGGATTATGCCACTGCACTCCAGCCTGGATGACAGAGCAAGACTCTGTCTCAAAAGATAATAATAATAATGTAACAATAAAAAATAATACAGATAAAAACAACACAGTACAACAGTTTACATAGCATTTACATTGTATTAGGTATTACAAGTAATCTAGAGATGCTTTAGAGCAAGCTTGTCCAACCCTTAGCCTCTGGGCCACATGTGGCCCAGGATAGCTTTGAATTGTGGCCCAACATAAATTTGTAAACTTAAGACATTATGAGATTTTTTTGTGATTTTTTTTTAAAGCTCATCATCAGTTATTGTTAGTGTTAGTGTATTTTATGTGTGGCCCAAGACGATTTTTCCAATGTGGCCCAGGAAAGCCAAAAGACTGGACACTCCTGGCTTAGAGTATACAGGATGATATATGTGCATAGGTCATATTGCAAATACTGCAATATTTTATACAAGGGGCTTGAACATCCATGGATTTTGGTATCTAAGAGGGTCCAGAACCAGTTCCCTACAGATAAGAAGGGACTGTATTTGTTTGAGTCCTTGCTTCCAGCTCTCTTGGGTGTGTACTTAGGACTAGAATCGTATGGCAATTCTGTTTAACTTTTTGGAACTGTTTTCCATAGCAGCTGCATGGGTTTACACTCCCACCAGCAATGCACCAGGGTTTGGCCAACACTTTTTGTTTTAAAACCCATTCTAATAGATGTGAGGTAGTATTTCATTGTGGTTTTGATTTGGATTTTTCTTTTTTTTTTTTTTTGAGACAGAGTTTCGCTCTTGTTACCCAGGCTGGAGTGCAATGGTGCGATCTCGGCTCACCGCAACCTCCGCCTCCTGGGTTCAGGCAATTTTCCTGCCTCAGCCTCCTGAGTAGCTGGGATTACAGGTACGCGCCACCATGCCCAGCTAATTTTTTGTATTTTGAGTAGAGATGGGGTTTCACCATGTTGACCAGGATGGTCTCGATCTCTTGACCTCATGATCCACCCGCCTCGGCCTCCCAAAGTGCTGGGATTACAGGCTTGAGCCACTGCGCCCAGCTGATTTGGATTTTTCTAATGATGATATTGAGCAACTTTTCGAGTGCTTATTGGGCCTCTCTCTCTCTCTCTCTCTATCTATCTATATGCACACACATATTATATATTTAATTTTTTTTTGAGACAGAGTCTTACTCTGTCGCCCAGGCTGGAGTGCAGTGGCATAATCTTGGCTCACTACAACCTCCGCCTCCCGGACTCGTGCAATTCTCCTACCTCGGCCTCAGCCTCCCTAGTGCCTGCCACCACAGCTGGCTAATTTTTGTATTTTTAGTAGAGACATGGTTTCACCATGTTGTCCGGTCTGGTCTCAAACTCATGACCTCAGGTGATGTGCCCACCTTGGTTTCCCAAAGTGCTGGAATTACAGGTGTGAGCCACTGCACCTGGCCCTTTGCCCATTTTTGAATCAGGTTGTTTTGTTGTTAAGGGTGTTCTTTATATATCCTAGATATTAATCCTTTATCAGCTGTATGATTTGAGCATATTTTCTTCCATTCTGTGTGTTGTCTTTTCTTTCTTCTTTTTTTTTTTGAGACAGAGTCTCACTTATTACCCAGGCTGGAGTGCAGTGAGCTCGGCTCACTGCAGCCTCCACCTCCAGGGTTCAAGTGATTCTCCTGCCTCTGCCACTTGAGTAGCTGGGGTAATAGGTGTCTGCCACCATGCCCAGCTGATTTTTGTATTTTTAGTGGAAACAGGGTTTCACTGTGTTGGTCTTGAATGCCTGACTTCAGGTGATCCACCTGCCTTAGCCTCCCAAAGTGCTGGGATTACAGATGTGAGCCACCATGCCTGGCCATTTCTGTGGATTGTCTTTGTATTCTCATGATAGTGTCCTCTGATGCACAGAAGGTTTCCATTTTGATGGAGTCCAGTTCACCTTTCTGCTGTGTTGCACCCTCTTTGTTGGATGGTCCTCTTTTCCTGTGGCTTCCTTGCCCGGGTTCCTGGTGTTTCTCCTTCTCTGGCTGCCTGTCCTCAGGTCTTCTTTGCTGGATCCTTTAACTGCCTGGAATTCCATAAAGGGCCATTTTCCTGAGGGCTGGTACCAACCCCTCGCCATCTGCAGGTGCAGACCTGAAGGAGCGGGAACAGATGAGTGAAGCAGAAGTGGGGGTGTTTGTCCAGCGACTCCGGGGCCTGATGAATGACATAGGTGAGGATCTGGGTGTGGAGTGGAGGAGGGGTTTTGGGGGCCCCTGCTGATGACAGCCCCGCCACCCCCACCAGCCTCTAAGGAGAAGACAGAGGACTTTCCCAGGGGGATGGGCACAAGGAATTCACTGGGGGAGGATGACAGAGGGCAATTCTCCCAGAGAGGGAGCTCTGGCTCTTCAGCTTTTGTGCCCCACTCTACCGTCAGGTTTCAAGCCTGGCCATTCCAAAGCAGTCAGGTTTCGCCAAGCATGCTTTCAGGCTTTGACAATTGCTGTTCCCTTTGCCTGGGTTACCCATTCTTGGTTACTTGAACTTTTACTCATCCTTCAAGGCCTCCAGTACCTCCTCCTCCAGGAAGCCTTCCCAGTCCGTCCTCCCATCTTCCTTTTATTGGTGCACTGATGATCCTGGGTCACTAATGCCTGATACACACTTGTCTTCCCCATGAGACTGAGCCCCATGGGAACAAGGTCTGTGTCTGATATATTCTGTGTTCCCAGCACCCAGCACAGGACTTGGCATAGAGACAGGCAGGTCCCAGGGAGGCCAGCAGATTAGGCCTCAGCAGGGATCATCCAGCCCATTACTTTTCTCTGACTGACTCCATAACTTTCCCTAAAGGGAAAATTGGCTTTTAAGATAACCCTGGCTGCAGCAGGCAGAGGTTGCCGTGAGCCAAGATTGTGCCACTGCACTCCAGCCTGGGTGACAATAGCGAGCCTTTATCTAAAAAAAAAAAAAAAAAAGGCTGGGCATGGTGGCTTACACCTGTAATCCCAGCACTTTGGGAGGCCAAGGCAGGAGGATCACGAGGTCAGGAGTTCAAGACCAGCCTGGCCAACATGGTGAAACCCCGTCTCTACTAACAAAAAATTTCCTGGGTGTGGTGGCAGGTGTCTGTAATCCCAACTATTTAGGAGGCTGAGGCAGAAGAATCGCTTAAACCCAGGAGGCAAGGTTGTAGTGAGTCAAGATCACACCATTGTACTCCAGCCTGGGTGACAGAGCGAGATTCTGTCTCAAAATAAAAGGATTAAGATAGCCTGGCTGAGGGTCCATGTGAGGTCCCGAGACCTGGGTCAGGTCCACTGAGGTCTCTGTTCCAACCAGCTTGCCCCTCCCAGCCTTGAGTCTCTGTCCTGGTTCCCCCAGCGCCTCACAGGCTGAGTCCTTCTTCGTCTCCACAGCAGCCTTCCCTTCACCCACCATTGCAGCTATGGATGGGTTTGCCTTGGGCGGAGGCCTGGAGCTTGCCCTGGCATGTGACCTCCGAGTGGCAGGTACTGGGCCAAGGCTGGGGGGAGGGGTGGGGCTAGGGGGTGAGTGAAACAGGGTAAGTGTGGGCATTCTGCAGTCAGCCACTGTTCTTGGCTTCCAACCAAAAGCAAAACTAAGGCAAGTTAGGGCACACAGGGTGCTCAGGCAGAAGCTGCTTCCCCTCCTGGTACATCCGCTAGCTGCCATAATACCCGTCACCTGTCAGAACCTGCTTCCTTCATTTTGGGAATATTTTACCAACCTCAGAGCAATTGCTATTAGGATCCAAGGAGGTCAAAGAGCAATGTCCAATCTTCCAATTCTGTCCACATCAGATTTATCTACCATGTTTTGGAAAAAGGTGAATCCCAGGGATAGTTTGTCAGTGGCTAAATTAATCACAAAGGTGCCTGGGCAGGAATACTAGCACCAGCCAAATTTGCATTACTTGTTCTGAGCAATTGAGCTTTGTTTGAAGAGTGGGAGGGGACAAAGAAGATAACTGATCCCTTTTTCAGGTGACTGACAGTGATGAGGAGCACCCTTCTTGGATGCAGTTAGGCAAAGTCTGAATGTCTCTCTCCTCCTCTCACTGCTCTCTCCTGCCACCCCAGAAGTGACATATAAAAATGTATAACTCCAGGCATGAAAGTCGCTGCTATCTACACTATGCAGTCAAAGAAAAGGAACTGACCAGGTGTCTGGGTACCAAAATACCAGGCTGGTCCAGCCCCAACTCTGGTTCTCACATGCCCATGTTCAGGCGACTAATTCTCAGGGTTTCAGAAGACTAAAGGGGAGTGACTGTAAAATCCACTCCCTTCTGCTCACATTTATATGGCCCATGCTGAGAGAATTCAGGAGACAGACCTATGGGGGTGCATCAGTCAAGGCAAGTTTCTCGGAGGAAGGAAGCAGAACTCAGGAGGACATGGACTGCAACAGGGAAATTTCAGGCTGTGACAAATCTGGGAGGGACAACTGTAGTGGGAGCAGGAACCACACTCTAGGCCAGGCCAGGGCTAAGCCGGAGAATCTATTAATAGGTATCAGGCACCTCCTAGGAATTCTCCTTGTTCCAAGGGTCATGCCTCATGTGATCCTTAGTGGCAATCTGAGGCAGACAGAAGAGGGCCAGCCATCTGTCTTCCACCTTTGAGGCATGGGAAGGGTGAGAGACTTGCTGGTGACACACAACTCCACCAAAGGGGCATGGTGAAATAAGGGCCTGGGCTCCTGACTTCTGGGCTAGGGCTCTTCCAAAGGCAGAGTCTGGAGAGGCCTGGCTGTGGCCAGACCATGGGGCTAGAGTGGCGAGTAGAGACCACAGGCAGATGCAGCCCTAGGGATGAGCACTGGGGGACTGGATTGGGGAGGGAGGCCTCACTCTGTTCTGTCTGAGCAGCTTCCTCGGCCGTCTTGGGACTGATTGAGACTACTCGAGGGCTCCTCCCAGGGGCAGGTAATTGCAACTGCAGCACCTGCCCAATTCCGCCCCACCCAGGGTCCTTTACTGCCTTCCTTTTTTGCCCTCTGTTCTGAGCTCTGCCCTCTCATCCGAACTCTGCTCCTCTGAGAAGTCTTGGCTGAGTCCCGGGCTGGGCCTTCTCTGAGTTCCCACTTTCCATGCCGATTCCCACCCTGCCCCCTCCATCCTGGCAGGAGGGACTCAGAGGCTGCCACGCTGCCTGGGGGTGGCCCTGGCGAAGGAGCTCATCTTCACCGGTCGACGACTGAGTGGAACTCAGGCCCACGCACTGGGGCTGGTGAATCACACTGTGGCCCAGAATGAGGAGGGTGACGCTGCCTACCACCGGGCACGAGCACTGGCCCAGGAGATCCTGCCCCAGGTGTGGTAACAGCTTGGAACAAGGAGGGTCGGGGTTGTTGGAGAGGCATGTGGCAGGTGGGGTGTCTCCTTGGGCTGCACATCCATTCACCCAGAGATATGATTAACCCTCTTTGGAGTTTATTTAACCATCTAGTAAACACAAGTCAAATTTAAATTTCAAATTAAAATGTTAATGAATTCCAAAGGGCTGGAATCAAATGGGGTTGAAAGCCCTCAGAACGCTGTCCAGTAGACTGTTCTGAGATGAGATAAATGTTCTATACTTGGCCGGGCGCGGTGGCTCAAGCCTGTAATCCCAGCACTTTGGGAGGCCGAGGCGGATGGATCACGAGGTCAAGAGATCGAGACCATCCTGGTCAACATGGTGAAACCCCGTCTCTACTAAAAATACAAAAAATTAGCTGGGCATGGTGGCGTGTGCCTGTAATCCCAGCTACTCAGGAGGCTGAGGCAGGAGAATTGCCTGAACCCAGGAGGCGGAGGTTGCGGTGAGCCGAGATCGCGCCATTGCACTCCAGCCTGGGTAACAAGAGTGAAACTCCGCCTCAAAAAAAAAAAAAAAAAAAAAGTTCTATACTTGTGCTTATCCAGTATGGGAGCCACTAGCGAAATGATTTAAATTGGATAAAATGAACGTAGTTCCTCATTCACACTAGCCACATTACAAATGCTAATAGCCACATGTGGCTTATGGCTACTGTACTGTATAGCACAGCCTTAAAATGCCCTGAAGACTTAAAAGGCAAGATTCTAAAATGAATACAGAACTTCCAACCCATATTTCCTACCATGCTAGCTGGTGGAGATAAGAAATGCAGGACATGTATTAAGACTTTTTTTTTTTTTTTTTAAAGAGACAGGGTCTCACTGTCATCCAGGCTGGAGTGCAGTGGTGCAAGCATAGCTCACTGCAGTTTTGAATTCCTGGGCTCAAGTGATCCTCTCACCTCAGCCTCCCAAAGTGTTAGAATTACAAGCGTGAGCCACCGTGCCTAGCCAGGACTCATTTTTTAGCCAGATGTGGTAGTTCAAGCCTGTAATTCCAGGTGTTTGGGAAAAAGAATTGCTTGAACCCATGAATTCAAAGCTGGAGTAAGCTGATCCTGCCGATGCACTTCCAGTCTGGGCAATAAGGCAAAAGCCCATTGCTCAAAAAACAAATGAAAACAAAACAAAAAACCAACACTAAAAGCCAACCAAAAAAAAAAAGCCGGGCGCGGTGGCTCAAGCCTGTAATCCCAGCACTTTGGGAGGCTAAGGCGGGTGGATCACGAGGTCAAGAGATCGAGATCATCCTGGTCAACATGGTGAAACCCCATCTCTACTAAACATACAAAAATTTGCTGGGCATGGTGACACACACCTGTAGTCCCAGCTACTCAGGAGGCTGAGGCAGGAGAATTGCTTGAACCCAGGAGACGGAGGTTGCGGTGAGCCGAGATCGCGCCATTGCACTCCAGCCTGGGTAAAAAGAGCAAAACTCCGTCTCAAAAAAAAAAAAAAAATACAGTGCTCACTTCGCCACACATATACTAAAAAACTGGAATGACACAGAGGATTAGCATGGCCCCTGCACAAGGATGACATGCAAATTCGTGAAGTGTTCCATATAAAAAAAGAAAAAGAAAAAAAAAGACAGCACTGGCATTTTGGCATTTATTTTGCACAATACAGAAAGCAATATAAAAATGGTATTTTATTTTTAAGAGAGCAAAATACGCCGGGCGCGGTGGCTCAAGCCTGTAATCCCAGCACTTTGGGAGGCCGAGGCGGGTGGATCACGAGGTCAAGAGATCGAGACCAACCTGGTCAACATGGTGAAACCCCGTCTCTACTAAAAATACAAAAAATTAGCTGGGCATGGTGGCGCGTGGCTGTAATCCCAGCTACTCAGGAGGCTGAGGCAGGAGAATTGCCTGAACCCAGGAGGCGGAGGTTGCGGTGAGCCGAGATCGCGCCATTGCACTCCAGCCTGGGCAACAAGAGCAAAACTCTGTCTCAAAAAAAAAATAAATAAATAAATAAAGAGAGCAAAATACGTACATTTTAAAAACTAACGCATTTCATATATATTTATAAATGTCACAAAACAAAATTAACCATACATCATTTTAATATTGATAGATATTAATCATATAAAAGTAACCATTTTGGCTGGGCATAGTGGCTCAATCCTGTAATCCAAGCACTTTGGGAGGCTGAGGTGGAAGGACTGCTTGAGACCAGGGATTCAAAACCAGCCCAGACAACACAGACCTCTTTTGTATTAAAAAAGAAAGTAAGTCAGACACAGTGGCTCATTCCTATAATTCCAGCACTTTGGGAGGTCAAGAAGGGTGGATTGTTTGATGCCAGTAGTTCTAGACCAGCCTGGCCAATATGGCAGAACCACATCTTTACTAAAATTACAAAATTAGCCAGGCATGGTGGCTTATGCCTGTAATTACAGCTACTCGGGAGGCTGAGGCACAAGAACTTGAGTCTGGGAAGCGGAGGTTGCAGTGAGCTGAGATCATGCCACTATACTCTGGTCTGAGTAACAGAGCAAGATTCTGTTAAAAGAAGAAAAAAGTATAATGTTGAGGCCAGACGCAGTTCTCATGCCTGTAATCCCAGCACTTTGAGATGCCAAGGCCAGCGGATCACCTGAGGACAGAATTTCCAAACCAGCTTTGCCAACGTGGTAGAACCTGTCTCTACTAAAAATACAAAAATTAGCTGGGTGAGGTGGCAGGCACTTGTAATCCCAGCTACTCAGGAGGCTGAGACAGGAGAATGGCTTGAACCTGGGAGGCAGTGAGCCAAGATCATGCCATTGCACTCCAGCCTGGGCAACAGAGTGAGACTCCATCTCAAAATTTAAAAAAAGTATAATTTTGAACAAAAATCCTTTCTTTCCTGACTCTTAACCCTAATCCTTCTTAAAACAGATCTTCTACTTGAGGGTTAGGGACTATAGCTTTTTGAAAGCATTTGTTGGCTGGGCATGGTGGCTCATCCCTGTAATCCCAGCACTTTGGGAGGCAGAGGCAGGTGGATCACCTGAGGTTGGGAGTTCGAGACCAGCCTGACCAACACGGAGAAACCCCATCTCTACTAAAAATACAAAATTATCCAGCCGTGGTGGCAGGTGCCTGTAATCCCAGCTACTTGGGAGGCTGAGGCAGGAGAATTGCTTGAATCTGGGAGGCAGAGGTTTTGGTGAGCTGACGTTGCACCACTGCACTCCAGCCTAGGTGACAGAGCCAAATCGTCTGAAAAAAAGAAAAATTTGTTTTGTCTTTTTTTTTTTGTTTCATCATATATAAATGAAGAGTCTGATACTGTTGCCTAGACAATATTGCTGGTTTCTATTACACTTGGTTAGAAAGTCCCTGAACTAATAATACAGAACTCTGGGCCATTCAAGGGAGTGGCTGACTGCAGCTTTCACACCTAGACCTATAGACTGTAGGGTTTGTCTTTTCTGCATTAACTAAATAACAATCACAAAATAATTCAGATTTCTAAAAATACTGAAATAATGGTACTAAATAATTACTGATGTTTTCAGTACTTTAAAGTAGCTTTGTACACCAAAACACCAGTCTACCAAAAACAAGTAACTGAGTGAATAACCCCAGAGTTGAGACCTTCTGGGTCAACTTGGAAAAACCAACCTTCAACTTTCACCTATGTTACTGGGTGCTCAGAATAAAGGTATCTGGAGAGGTGAGGGCCAGGGATGGTGTAGACGGCCACCATCTGGGGGAGAAATCACTCTGATAGGGTGGCAAATGGTTCCAGAGTTTACTCAGCTCAGAAAAATCTGTCAATATCCACAGTTTGCTAACACTCAGATTTCCTTCTTAAATAGTAAATACACATTACACTTTGAAGAATGGATTCAATGGTGGTTTTTTTTCTTTTCTCTTTAGAGACAGGATCTTGCTCTGTTGCCTAGGCGCAGTGGCACGATTATAGCTCACTGCAGCCTTGAAGCCCTGGGCTCGAGCAATCCTTCCACCTCAGCCTCTGAATAGCTGGGAGTACAGATGCAAGCTACTGACTTGGCTAGAATTTGGTTGTTTTCACTCACAAACCTATGTACATACCGCTTTTAACTTTCTTTAATAAAGATTTTTTTTTTTTTTTTTTTTCCACATAGGGCTGGCTCTTTTGCCCAGGCTGGAGTGCAGTGGCATGATCACAGCTCACTGGAGCATTGACCTTCCAGGCTCAAGTGATCCTCCCACCTAAGCCTCCTCAGTACCTGAGACTATAGGTGCAAGTCACCATGCCCAGCTAAATTTTTTATGTTTTGTAGAGATGGGATCTCACTGTGATGCCCAGACTGGTCTCAAACTTTGGGCTCAAGCAATCCTCCTGCCTCAGCCTCTCAAAGCCCTGTGATTAATAAATAATACATGCTCACGGCAAGGAAATCTAAACGAACAGAGCAGTAAGAAGGGCATAAAGTAAAAGTCAAAAGCAAGATACTTGTGGCTCTCCCAGTTTTAAAAGTGAAAGTCTCACATCCTAGTAACCCTTCAATCACAAGCAAACCCAAACAGCCCTTTAAGTTTCCATACTCTTTCAGAAATTTCCATTGCATATGGAGGATGTGTATTATGCATATATGCTTACATATTTAAATAAATTCCTTTTAATGGCTTAGAGGACAAGAAACATCTTCCAAGGCTAATCTGGTAATTTTAAAAACAAATATGCATAGTAAAGAATTCAAACATGGAAGAATGTAAGACAAAACCTTTGTTTTATAAGTGAAGGTTTATAAATGGTTGTTTATAAAAGGAAGGTTTTGTTTCATATTACTCCACGTTTGAGTCCTGTATTTCTCCCTAAAGGTATGTTGTACCAATTTTATGCAAATAATAGAATCATAATATACATACTAGGATGCACCTTGCTTTTCTTTTTTAATTGAGACAGAGTCTCGCTCTGTTGCCCCGGCTGGAGTGCAGTGGCGCAATCGGGGCTCACTACAATCGATGCCTCCCGGGTTCAAGCAATTCTCCTGCCTCAGCCTCCCAAGTAGTTGGGTTTACAGGTGCCTGCCACTGCACCTGGCTAATTTTTGTATTTTTAGTATAGACTAAGTTTTGTCATGTTGGCCAGGCTGGTCTCGAAGTCCTGATCTCAAGTGTTCCACCCACCTCAGCCTCCCAAAGTGCTGGGATTACAGGCATGAGCCACTGCACATGGCCTGCTTTTAAAATTTAGTATCTTTGCCAGGCGCAGTGGCTCAAGCCTGTAATCCCAGCACTTTGGGAGGCCGAGGCGGGTGGAACACGAGGTCAAGAGATCGAGACCATCCTGGTCAACATGGTGAAACCCTGTTGCTACTAAAAATACAAAAAATTAGCTGGGCACGGTAGCGCGTGCCTGTAATCCCAGCTACTCAGGAGGCTGAGGCAGGAGAATTGCCTGAACCCAGGAGGCGGAGGTTGCAGTGAGCTGAGATCACGCCATTGCACTCCAGCCTGGGTAACAAGAGCGAAACTCTGTCTCAAAAAAAAAAAAAAAAAAATTAGTATCTTTTGGAGATTTTTCCATTTCAGTATGTAACTGACTTTTTTTTTTTTTTTGAGATGGAGTTTTGCTTTTGTTGCCCAAGCTGGAGTGCAATGATGCCATCTTGGCTCACTGCAACCTCCGCCTCCCAGGTTCAAGCAATTCTCCTGCCTCAGCCTCCCGAGTAGCTGGGATTACAGGTGCTACAGACATGCACTACCACACCCAGCTGATTTTTTTGTATTTTTAGTAGAAACAGGGTTTCACCATGTTAGGCCTCCTGAAATGCTGGGATTACCGCTGTGAGCCATTGTGCCCAGCCAACTTAATTCAACTGTACACTCTTATTCGTGGTCTGGATGTGCTGTCATTCAACCACTGCCCTAACAATAAACCTTTCTGTTGTTTGTCTTTTTTTCTGACCACCAGACACTGGAGTGAATAACTGTATACAAGTCCCTACAGGCCGCAGCTTACCAGCACTTTGCCAGTTTTTGCCAAATTGCTCTCCCAAGGCATACTCATTTACTTTCCTATCAGTAATGTATGTTAATACTGGTTTCCCCACTCTTGGCAATAGTGGGCATATTGATACTTTAGTATTTGCTGGTCTGAGGTGAAAGGGCATAGTACACCTCACTATTGATTTGCCTTTCAAAAGTGAAGCTGCTGGACATCCTTCACATTCATACGTCTTTTCTGGTGAACAACCTTTACATACTCTCTGTAAATAGTTTAAAAGTTACTTTATACTTACTTTTTTGTAAGTCAAGGAAGTTCATCTGTCATAAGCATTGCAATTCTTTTTCCCAGTGGTGTTTTTTTTGTTTTTTGTGTTTTTTTTTTGAGAAGAAGTCTCGCTCTGTCGCCCAGGCTGAAGTGCAGTGGCCCGATCTTGGCTCACTGCAACCACTGCCTCTTTAGTTCAAGCATCTTGCCTCAGCCTCCCGTGTAGCTAGGGTTACAGGGCCCACCACAACACCCGGCTAATTTCTGTATTTAGAGATGAGGTTTCGTCATGCTGGCCAGGCTGACCTCAAGTGATCCACCCACCTCAGCCTCCCAAAGTGTTGGTATTACAGGCATGAGCCACTGTGCCCAGTTGTTTTTCCAAGTTTCTTACATTTCTTTTATTCATGGCATTTTTTTCCAATGGAAGTTCTTCATTTTTATGTTGCTTTCTCATTTATAGTTTTTTTTTCTTTTTTTTTTTTTTTTTTTTTGAGACGGAGTCTCACTCTTGTTACCCAGGCTGGAGTGCAATGGCACGATCTCGGCTCACCGCAACCTCCGCCTCCTGGGTTCAGGCAATTCTCCTGCCTCAGCCTCCTGAATAGCTGGGATTACAGGCACGCGCCACCATGCCCAGCTAATGTTTTGTATTTTTAGTAGAGACGGGGTTTCACCTTGTTGACCAGGATGGTCTCGATCTCTTGACCTCGTGATCCACCCGCCTCGGCCTCCCAAAGTGCTGGGATTACAGGCTTGAGCCACCGCGCCCGGCCTATAGTTTTTTTTTCTATATAGCATTTATGACAGACTATTGTGGGATTCATTTATAGTTTCTATGTTAATAGACTTTAAAAATGGACTTTTCCTGAGAAAGTTTTATAAATATTCAAATAATACGATACAGAAAGTAATTCCTCCTTGCCTGGAAGTGGGGCTGAGACTGGAGTGCCAAGGCTGCTGTGGAACCAAGGCCAGTGACAAAGCAGACACTTGCTTCTATGCGGCTGTATTAAAATGCACCCCCTGCCCCACCAACCAGGATTTCAATCCAGCCCTGTCGACCTGAAAACCCAAGTTCCTAACCCTGACTTTATTTCACACTGCTGGGGTAAAACCTGCTAACCGCTGAGGCTGTCATTTGCTGAGATAAGGTCAAGGAAGGGGGCAGCAGTGGCTGGGAGTCTCACCAGTGATTGGATAAACACAGCCAAGCGCTTCACCTCCCTGCACTGCAATCTCACAGCCGTAAATGGGCATCAGTGATGACAGCAGCCTGGAAGTGCAGGTAGCACCATGAGATGAGTCTGTGGGGAGGAAAGCACTTTGTAAACTAGTTACGTTGTACATGTTGGAAGGATGGGCTGAATGACGAGAAACTCAGATGGTCAGGGACCAGTCTGGCTTCTTTCATGACAGAAAATAATCTCAGCTAACAGGTTATAGGACTAACATTAAATAAACTATGTGTCAGTAGAATGGCTGGCACTAGACCCAGACATGTGCCTCCTTCAAAACAAAGCTGTGCACCTAAGAACTGCAACTATCAGCCTTGATACCCTCCTCAACCAAGACTTTGCTTTTCTCCAGGCCCCCATTGCTGTGCGGCTGGGCAAGGTAGCCATTGACCGAGGAATGGAGGTGAGAGGGTTTCGGGTTGAGATTTGGGTCCAATAAAGTTGGTCATGGCCGGGACACAGTGCTTTCAGAGCTCAGACACACAGCACAGCTGAAGGACCTCAGGAAGGGGACTCTTCTAACAGACTTTGACCTCACTCTCTACCTGTTTACCCATCGGCAAATTAGGTAGCTGGAAATTTGGCCAGATATTACTGTTTACTTTGTATCCTCATCTTTCTCCCCTGGAGAGAGAGGAGGAGATTGAGATTCAGAAGGGGTAGATGACTTCCCAAAGGTCTCAAAGGAAGTGAGTAGAAAGAACCCGGGTCTGTGTGGCTCCCAGTCCGTGCTGTGAGGTTTGTGCTGGCAGTCAGTAATGTGGCCTCGGGGCAGGGCTTGGGGTGATGCCTTGGGTGTAGCTAATCCATCTGTACACCTCAACTCACCCATCCACTCATCACACACTGAATCTAGACCGAAGCTGGGAACTGGAATAGAGATGAGTTCAACACGGTCACTGTCCCTAAGATGGGAAGGGGAAGATACAGACACAAATCAAGGTTAATGGTACCAGGCTGACACGCTAGAGACATTAGAGCTGTGTGGTCCATTATGATAGCCATGTGCAGCTTTTAATTTAAAAGAAAATGTTCAGTTTCTCCACACTAATCACACTTCAAGTGCCTGGCAGTCACATGTGGCTACTGGCTACCATACTGGGCCGTGCTGGGTTAAAGAATGTTTCTACAGTTGGGCTGTGGGAAGGATAAGAATTCCAGAGGAAAAGTATGAGCAAAAGCAGAGGCGGATAAGCAAGCAGCTAGTCCAGGTGAGAGTGAGGAAGACTATGCGCGTTAGAGGCGCTGGCGCTGGGCTGTCTGGGTTCAAAGAACTGCTCTTCCGCGTACTGTTGTGAACTTTGACAAATTGTTTCACCTTTCTATGCCTCAGGTTTCTCAGCTGTAGAATAGGAATAACCACCCTTGCTGTGAAAATTAAATTTACATACATTAGAAGAAGGCTTTTAAGTGCCAGTCACTGGGCCCTAGAGCTGGAGCAATTGCCAGGGGCCAGGTCATAAAGGCTCAAGAATTAACTAAGAGGGGTGAGGGGAGGCATGGTGAGGCAGCCAGATGGAGAGGAATGCTGAACTCTGCTCTGGTGAAACATCTCAGTCTGTCTCCCGTTTATCCCAGTACTGTTTTATCACAGTTGTGAATGGTGTTTCTTCTCCAGGAAGGGAATTCCTTCTCATAGCTATCTGCTCATATAGAAGTCTGCAGGCAATAGGGTGGGCTGGTTTCCAGTGTGGGTGAAGATGGACAAGGTCAGACTGATCTAGGGAGCACTTCTTTCTTGCAGGTGGACATTGCCTCAGGGATGGCCATTGAAGGGATATGCTATGCCCAGGTATGTAGCTACCAGCCCATGCCTGCTTGTTAACATAGGCTGGACCAGCCTAGAGGGACTTTTGTCTAGTACATGACTGAGTTAGCAGGTTCCTCCCAACCCAAACAGTCTGACTGCATCCATCCTCCCTCATAAGTCATCTGGAGTGGCTTCTGTTTCAGGAGAGCCACAGTGCTTCTCTCTGGGACTTTTCCCTCAACCATCTAATATACTGAGGTACATCTTGCCCACTTAATGCTGAGAACCATACAACACAGACTTGAGAGAAAGAACCGCTTCTTTTGCCTCTGTACCAGCTTCCGGTGTAAAGGCCAAGCTGGAGGTGGGAGGTCAAAGGCTTGGTTGTAGCCTGCAGGCTGTGCTCAGTGTAGGGAGGTGTAAACTTGGGACTGACCTATTAAATCTCTTACTCACAGGTGAGTAAAAAATGCTAATCTCCAGGTTAACAGATATCCAAAATACTGCTAAGGGGTCCTGCGACTTGGTGAACCTGGATTCAAAGCCATATTTCTTGCTGCAAAGAATTTCTACTGCACAGCCTCATGTCAGACCACTGCAGAAGGCAGTGAGTTCTCTGGTGGCATGAGAGCAGTGTGCAAGTGGAGGCTAATGCTGATGGCATGCAGAGAATACAAAGGCTGGACTGTCTTCCCCAGGAGACAAAGCAGACATGGAGGCTTATATCTTTACATGGCTCAAGACCAGAGTCCAGAGACAATGGAAACACCTGGACCCCGGCTTTGTCATAGGCTGGACAAGCTTACGCAACTCTTTTTGGGCCTCTGACCCTGCTCCCCCAAAACTAGTATTCTGTACCTTGTTGCAGAACATTCCAACCCGGGATCGGCTGGAGGGCATGGCAGCCTTCAGGGAGAAGCGGGCCCCCAAATTTGTTGGCGAATGACCCCCATTTAACCTTCAGCACGGGAGATGCATGCCCTGAAGAGCAGGATCCAGAAGTAAGATTTGCAGCTGGACTGCCCTCATCATTTCGCCTCTCCAGGCTTCTATTTCTTCACAAGGATGATGATGATGGAGATAAAATGGCTGGCGTGATGCCTGGAACCAAGGTGCTGACCCTACCACCTACTGCTACCCTCCTTAGCTTGATTAGACATAATCAATAGGGTTGGATTTGCTTTGGAATATGCCTCTCTCTACTTGAATGATGACGAATTAAAATAGATCCCTCTGGGTCTTGGTATCATTGGCTCTCAGCCCCTGACCTCTCTCCTCTCAATTATCAGGCACTCACCAGAGATGTCAAGAGATTTTAAGATACTCCTAGTTTCAGGCCGGGCGCGGTGGCTCAAGCCTGTAATCCCAGCACTTTGGGAGGCCGAGGCGGGTGGATCACGAGGTCAAGAGATCGAGACCATCCTGGTCAACATGGTGAAACCCCGTCTCTACTAAAAATACAAAAAATCAGCTGGGCATGGTGGCGCGTGCCTGTAATCCCAGCTACTCAGGAGGCTGAGGCAGGAGAATTGCCTGAACCCAGGAGGCGGAGGTTGCGGTGAGCCGAGATCGCGCCATTGCACTCCAGCCTGGGCAACAAGAGCGAAACTCCGTCTCAAAAAAAAAAAAAAAAAAAAAAAAAAAAAAAAAAAAGATACTCCTAGTTTCTTCCCTTGGACCATAGAGGTAATAAACAAACTCTGATACTGGTTGAACATGTGTCAGGAGTCAGACTGCAGATCCCAGTCTCGGCTAGTTACTCGCTGCATTAACCTTGGACAAATTGTTTCAACACTCTGGGCCGCAGCTTCCTCACCTACAAAATGAAACTTGTGAAGATTTAGCAAAATAAAAACATCTCATATTCAATAAGTATGTTGTAATTGTTAACATACAATGTTTTTGTGAGGATCAAATGAAATCATCACTGTGAAACCCTTTTGTAAACTATAGGGTAGCAGAAAAAAAAAAATTTTTTTTTTTTTTTTTGAGACAGGGTCTTACTCTGTTGCCCAGGCTCCAGGCTGGAGTGCAGTGGCACGATCTCAGCTCACTACAGCCTCCACTTCTCAGGCTCAAGCAATCCTCCCACCTCAGCCTTTGGAGTAGCTGGTACAGGCACATGCCACCATGCCCGGTTACTTTTACTAGGGAAAAGTAACTGGCATAGCTGTTCCAGCACAAGCTCCCAGGCCTTCTCAGAGTCCACGGTTTGAGTCTTCAAAATTGCCGCTGAAACGGCACCCTCAGAATGAGTCCAACTTGACTTAGGATTACGGCTATCATACAAATCCAACCTTTTTGTAACGTATATAAAATAAAATCAACAATGAAAGGCCAATGAGACAGCCAACTCACAAAGTCCAACAATAACTGGTTTCAATATTCAACTACTGCCAGGGCAGAACACCTGACATGGAGAAAGAGCACATCTCTGAAGACCCTGAGGTGCAAAAGGGCATTCAACACAGTGAGGGCCGCTGGTAATTCATGAAATGCATTCTGAAGTCATCCAGAATGGAAGCTGCAATCTGCTGTATTTGGGAGGTTGCCTCACTGTGCTCCTGGATATCACACAAAAGCTGCAATCCTCCTTCTTCAACTAACATTTTGCAGTATTTGCTGGCTGAAAGAAAATCAAACAGAGACACTCCATGGACAACTAGCATTTTAAATATTCCATTGTCACCACATTCACCTTTCTGAAGAAAGAATACAAAGGTTTAAGCCCTTTGGCCCAGGAATTAGCAGATAAAATGAGTTGTTTTTTTTTTTGAGACAGAGTTTCACTCTTGTTACCCAGGCTGGAGTGCAATGGCACGATCTCAGCTCACCGCAACCTCCGCCTCCTGGGTTCAGGCAATTCTCCTGCCTTAGCCTCCTGAGTAGCTGGGATTACAGGCACGTGCCAACATGCCCAGCTAATTTTTTGTATTTTTAGTAGAGACGGGGTTTCACTATGTTGACCAGGTTGGTCTCGATCTCTTGACCTCGTGATCCACCTGCCTGAGCCTCCCAAAGTGCTGGGATTATAGGCTTGAGCCACCGCGCCCGGCCTAAAATGAGTCAATTCTAAAGAAGTATGTCAAAACTTAAATAATGCTCAGCTCACATGATGAGATAACAGATGCTCATTTTAGTATGTTTACTTCCTGACAACTCTGTGCTTCAAACATCTTTTTTTTATTTTTGAGGCACAGTTTTGCTTTTGTTGCCCAGGCTGGAGTGCAGTGGCACAATCTCTGCTCACTGAAACCTTCGCCTCCCAGGTTCAAGCAATTCTCCTGCCTCAGCCTCCCAAGTAGCTAGGATTACAGATGCCCACCACGTCTGACTAATTTTTTTGTATTTTTAGTAGAGACAGGTTATCACCATGTTAGTCAGCTGACCTCGGGTAATCCACCCACCGTAGCCTCCCAAAGTGCTAGGATTACAGGCGTGAGTCACCAGGCCCGGCCCAAACATCTTTAATTCTAGTTAAATGACGCTGAAAACACCAGATGTTAAATAAAATGTAATTCATTTAAAAAAAAAAAAAAAAGGGAGGTGAGGTGGGAAAAAACATACATACATAATTCATAAATTTTTAAATGCATAGATGAATGTACAAACTAAAGGAATTTTCTGGGAGCTGAAAACAGAGCACTTCAGCTAATGTAAGCTAACCTGCAGCTAAGCCTGCGGCAGAAAGAACTGGTAGTTTTAGTAATCAAGGCATTTAAATTTCAGCTTGCAGAATTTGAAGCAAAATCCATGCATAAAAGTAGACCCTTGAAGGGTTAGATAAGAGAAGGGATCAGATACTGAAGCACCTCTGCTGTGGACTGGGCTCTAGGGGTATATGGGAGTAGGAGAGGAGAAATCTTTCCTGAAAGCTCATGACCACAATCCCAAGTGGGTCATAGGGTTTGAATTTACACTACCTGAATGTTGCTGAGAAATTAATGTATTCAGTAGCACAGTCCTAATAAAAATGATAAAAAATTAATATTAAAAAAACTAGCACAAGCCTAGGGAAACCTCTGGAGCATTTCACAGAAGCAAATAACCGCTGAAGGGACACGTCAATCCATTCTAAAATGAATTCTCACAGAAAAAAAGCCTTGCTAAAGTTGAGTTCATAATCTAAAACTGCCCCCCTCGACATAACACATAAGATCGCACAGATCACAAATTACTTTTAAATAAGAAAGGAATATTTGAAAAAGAAGCAAATAAAATGTACAGACATATAAAAATGTATCACTGAAATTAAAGACTTAGTCTAAGAGCAGATTTAGACCCAGCTGGTCAGGTGTGGTGGCTCATGCCTGTAATCCCAGCACTTTGGGAGGCCAAGGTGGGAGGATCACCTGAGGTCAGGAGTTTAAGACAAGCCTGGCCAACATGGTGAAACCCTGTCCCTACTAAAAATACAAAAATTAGCCAGGCCTAGTGGTGGCCACCTGTAATACCAGCTACTCAGGAGGCTGAGGCAGGAGAGTCACTTGAACCTAGGAGGCGGAGGTTGCGGTTAGCAGAGACCAGGCTGCTGCACTCCAACCTGGGCAACAAGAGTGAAACTCCATCTCAAAAAAAGAAAAGACTTAGACCCAGTTAAGGAGAAATAGGATGAGCATAGTGGCTCACGCCTGTAATCCCAGCACTTTAGGATGCCTGGGTGAGAGGATCAAGGCAAGTAGTGAGACCATGTCTCTACAAAAAATAAAAAATTAGCTGGGTGTGGTGCCACACACCTGTAGTCCCAGCTACCCAGGAGGCTGAAGTGGGAGAGTCACCTGAGCCCAGGAGGTTGAAGCTGTAGATGAGCTGTGACTGTGCCACTGTACTCCAGCCTGGGTGATAGAGTGAGACTCTGTTCCAAAAAAAAAAAGAGAAAAAGAAAAAATACCTATCAAGAAATGATAACTAGGATGACAGTAGACCCCAAAAGCAATGATAAAAAATAATGGAAATGGCTGGGCACCATGGCCCATGCCTGTAGTTCCAGCACTTTGGGAGGTTGAGGTGAACATCTGAGGTCAGGAGTTTGAGACCCGAATGGCCAACATGGTGAAACCCCATCTCTACTAAAATCAGAAAATTAGATGGGGGAGGTGGCGTGCACCTGTAGTCCCAGCTACTCAGGAAGCTGAGGCAGGAGAATCGCTTGAACCCGTGAGGCAGAGATTGCACCACTGCACTCCAGCCTGGGCAACAAAGTGAGACTCCCATCTCGAAAAAAAAAATAGGGAAAAAAAGAAAACAGGCCCGGCACAGTGGTTCACACTTGTAATCCCAGCACTTTAGGAGGCTGAGGCAGGCAGATCACAGGTCAGGAAACCCTGTTTCAACTAAAAATACAAAAATTAGCAGGGCATGGTGGCGCACACCTGTAATCCCATCTACTCAGGAGGCTGAATCACTTGAACCCGGGAGGCAGAGGTTTCGGTGAGCCGAAAAGGCACTCCTGGGCGGCAAAGTGAGGCTCCATCTCAAAAAAAAAAAAAAAAGATATGAAAACAAAGTAGAACTAAAATATATTGATTAGCCATGTTCTTGGATAGAAATACGCATTTGTGACCAGACATGGTGGCTCATGATTATAATCCCAGCACTTTGGGAGATTGGGGCAGGAGGATCGTTCAGTCTCTGGAGTTCACAACCAGCTTGGGCAACATAGCAAGACCCTGGCTCTTTTTGTTTTGAGGGTTTTTTTAAATATATTTTTTATTTAAAAGAAAAAAAAAAAAGGAGGCAGTAGAGGGGGGAAATAGGCACAGTTGCTCACACCTGTAATCCCAGCCCTTTAGGAGGCCGAGGTGGGCAGATCTCCTAGGATCAGGAGTTCGAGACTAGCTTGACCAACATAGAGAAACCCA